GAGAAGAGGGGGGTCGAGAATGCTTACCATCTGCAATGGAATGGTAGTTAACGTACGCATATCTTAGAGACTTGCGGGAGTTGCTGTCTCTGCATACCCTGATGGAGGCGACTGGACCAACCGAGTTAAAGAATTCGTACAGGACGGTTTCTGAAACATCAGGGGACAAGTCACCCACATAGAGCGACGTCGATGCGAATTGGGGTCTAGTTGTAGAAGCGGCCATTTTTTGTCTTTTTTTCAACAGCGAGAGGCTCGAATTACCTCTCACGGGCCCGCGAAAAATTTAGGAATTTAATACGTGTGTGGAAGGGAACCCCGGGTTTTACCAAAACGTGCCCCAGCTTATTTCTTCACACAGAGCAACTCTAATTTAAGATATTGGAGTCCTAAAACTGCTTAGCACACACGTGTGCAAGTGCCCTGCTTTTACATTTCTAAAGTCGTTACGTCTCACAGCAAACAAACTCGCCGCCTCCTGGTTTTTTTGCACGCCCCAAGCATGACTGAGTGCTCCCTTCGTATCTCCAAGTTCAAGAGCAACGCTTTGCTCCAGCGCAAGCAGTTCCTCATTGAGGTATGATTGCACGCCCGGCCCGGCCCGCACCAGTCCCTGCGGGGCACAGGCCCTCTGGATTCCCGGTTCATTCCTGCCCCTGGAGACATTCCCGGTGTCCGGGGCAGGGTGGTGGCCTTGCCTAGTGCACACCCTAGTGCGTGCCCTAGACATCGAGCACACGTCACTTGTCCGGGTACACGTATTATGCCTTTAGGTGAGCCACCCCAACTCCGGTACGGTGCCGAAGGAGAGTATTCGTGAGCAGTTGGCCAAAATCTATAAAGTCAACGACATGAAGAAGATTGTGGTTGGGGACTTTGCCACTAAGTTCGGTGGTGGTGTCACTCATGGCTTCGGTCGCATCTACGACACTTCTGCGGCCGCCCTAAAGTTCGAGCGGAACTACCGTCTGGTACGCATGGGCATCGTCGAGGCTCAGAAGGCCCCAGTCACCCGTGGCTTGAAGAAGCGCATCCGCAACGACCGCAAGAAGGTTCGCGGCACCGCCAAGTCCTCGGTCTCGGGAGCCAAGAAGTAGAACACTTTTTCCAACAACAATTAGTCAGTGCTACGTGCAGCCATTGGGGCGCAAGGGAGCACCCATACACGCACGAGTGGTGATAGACGCGTGGTGATAGACTCGTGGTGATAGACGCGTGCTGAGTGCATATACCCTGTACGTGGACTCATTGACCTCCCGGCCATGCAGTCCCCTACTATCTATGCAGTATCCCGACTAAATATCCCGACTATCAGAAGTCGTCTGCTAACTATCCGACGAATCCGCTCCTGTGGTCAATCTCTCTCCTCCCCGACGAAGCTCTGGTCCCCGACGAGTCTCCGCAGCGCCCCAACGCAGGCTGAGGTACGCTCATGGCTGCTACTGGGCCGTGTGCGGCGTGCGTTGCGAACTCATGAAGATGCGCGAGTGTTCCCAGTTTGTCTTCTGGCTGTTGGACGTATTACGCCAATTCGGCGTGTGCACTGTATTCGGATGTTTTGTATCGAAGCATTGTGCTAAAAGAACATGGCCTAGACGGGGAGCAGGGGGTACCAGGCCCGGGGGGGAGAGAGGGG